AAATGAGAAATTAACTCTGCCCACTCACAAAATAGCAAGTTTTACATTCTAAGTAATAAAGGAATTTTTTTAAATGATACTTATTATGATCTTTGATGACAGCATTTTTAACTTTAATAATAAGATACATAGAAGATTTCCGATTTCTTGACTTCAAAATCAAATTACAATACGCTTATGAAGATGTTATTTACATTGCCTTTTTATGTATATATCACAAATTGCCTAACGCAATTTATATATTGCAACACTTCCGGCGACGGTAGTACGTTGTTTTCATCAATAAAGTATTTGGACTATTAAAAGAGCCAAAACAGCACCTATTCCGTAGGCAATTTCGAATACATCAATGATATGAATGAATTTTGTTTGCAAAATCAATTTCAAGCTTGTGTTTGTAATAAAAGCTTAAGTTCCCTTTTCGAGTTTAGTTCTTTATGTAGATCTGTACAATTGTGTGTAAAATACACGAGCGTTTACACTGCCTTGTATGTTTGCTTAGGTAGAGAAATGGAATTATCTTATGGAATTTACATTTCTAAGATCGTAAAGAAATTTTACGGGGCGATAAAAGGTATATATGAATGAGATGTCTTTTGTAATTTTTAACAAGGAAACATATATACAAATACATCATCAAACGACGCACAACTGTTCAACAACTTCTTCTGCCAGTTGAATTTTACTTCTACAATCTACAAGTGTGTTGTAAAAAGTTATATTAAAATTGAAGAATGTTCACTCAGTATTATTTCTAATTTTAACACTTGGTTTGATGTATCATGATATGATCTTTTAAGGTATAAATGAAGATGTATAAGTCAAGGAACACATCTTTGCGCAAGGAAATACAACATAAAGTTTTGTTAAAAATCATCCAAACAGTCAGTAACGAATTACTAAGTAGGCTATGTAGACTGAAGCCTACAGGTCAGGGTTATTGAGATTTGAGAGCCCCGTTGTATTTAGACATAATTAGTTTTTACTATTTGCTATTCCAGACTTGCTATATATGCCTATTTTACACCATTTATAAGCTGTTAAAACCGTACAATTTATGGTTTAAATGCGCGATGTTCAGAACGTATAAAGTAGTGGGTTTCCCCAGTTTAAATTATAAATTTATTCCCTATTGTTCACGTTATTATTTACAAACCCAAGCCAAGAAAAGCAAAAGCAAAGGAACTGAGATGAACGCCAGCGTTAGAAAGAGACTGAACTTAGTCAGAGGAATAAACATCTTTATCTTAGCCTACAGGCCATGTGAAGGGTTTTCAAAAATGATTCTTTTAATTTCTTTAATGACAGTTCTGCATAAAAATAACTGAAATTATTCCTGTAGCGGCATGTGTAACTTTTTTTCATCGCCGAAGAATGATTTCGGTGACAATATCAAAGACTAAAGACGCCTTTAAAATTCTTAACATAGTTTTGATTTGCAATTATTGTAAGCTAATTTTAACATATCAGCATGTGCTTTTAAAAACCAATTAAATTGAGGATCACCTGCAATGTTTCCTGTATTAGCTACTGTTTCAGCAAAGTTGTTTGTTGAAGCCAAGATTCTGTCGACTAAGCCATTATTGGGGTGTTGTTGGCAAGAAGCGTAGACCCTACCATGAGCAATGACATTTAGATATTAGTTACACACTTTCAGCAACTGAAAAATTTTGTACATAATTCGTAAAAATTCATTATAAAACAACAAAAAAACGTGCACTTTGATTGTCGATGCCCGTAGTTGAATCAAGCCATCCAATCCAAACACGCGGAAATTGAAATTGCTGACATGATAATTTTAAACATGCCTGAAAGACTATTTTTCGCTTCCAATGATTTTCAAGTGGAACATATTTCTGAAAGTGTAAATATGAATTTCTATCCACGTTAATCTAATGCACGTTAAAATTTTGAGCAGAATCTAGTCAAGACGGGAAACGTGTCTTAAATTCGCATCAAGACGGATAAAGAAGACCAGTTAACGAAATTAATACGATCAAAGGATGAATTTAGATGGTCATTCAAAAAATAGCGCACGAAAGAAAACGAAGCACGCACATTATCAGACCTCAGCTTGCATTACTCTCAGCCAATTACCCACATATACCTTCAGAATAGGACGAACTTTTTAATACGAGTTTCCTTTCTGAAACGAGTTTCCCGTCTCTTAAGTAGATTCGACTGTTGAATGCATAATTTGCAGTAAAAGTCGGGAAGAGTACAAAATGGCTGATTTTAACTGTTGCAAACAAAGCTGCAATAAATCATTTTAATTGGTAACCAATTTTTAAACTTCTTTGTCCAAATATAAATATCTATTTCCAGATAATTTGGATTACTTTTGCTAAACATCAGTTTTGAGAAAGCAAATCGATGCACTTTGAAAGATATAGAAATTCTCAGCTAGATAAAACAGGGACTTTTTCCCATTGACTGTTTTAATTCTAATTTGATGACAACTGATTGTAACGATACTCTCGGGTTCAAATCATTTACTTGATGACAACTATTGCATACAAAAATGAATGTATTTTCATATTGCATGCGCTATTTGGTGTGAGAACTAAATAATGACATATGACGAAGGAACTATGCGTCTAGATTAAATGAACGCATTTTGACATTCTTCAAATAGTTTTTCTTTTGTATTTGTTTGCTTGTTTGTAACTTAACAGCAGGTGCATTGAACATCCAAGTAAAATATAGTGATCACGGGCACATCTTCGCAAACTGTTCTTCTGATAAAGCTGTTTTTTGTCAAAAACCGTAGCCTTCGACTTTTATCAGCAAGACGTGTTAATTTGCCTGCAGTTTCAATCACTGCTGAAATTTTGCTCATAATTTGTAATAATATATCTGGATAATGGAAGCAGATTTTAGTTAGATTAATTAGAAGTTAATGTTTGTTGGCGCCGGTATGTATAGCTACCGTAGATGGATGTCAGGTAACCTGGGAAAATATCAGAAGTTGTGTATTTAGAAAGTGTTCATTCTCAGATGATTTAAAACAATGAACGTGTACATGCAACCAGTCTTCAAATTTACTTCACACAGCAAAAAATAATTAGCTACTTTCTACGCTGCTGTGAATTTACATGAAATGAAATCTTTAAAGGGAATTTGAAGTGGCAGAAAAACTCAGGTTACGTATACCAAGCTCATAAATCCGTGAAAAATATTTTCAACATATTTTTCAACTTCCTTTTGATATAATAATTATAATTCACTATTCTGTCTAGCTTTCACCACATGATAGCTATTAGTTTGAATGAGAAATTAACTCTGCCCACTCACAAAATAGCAAGTTTTACACTCTAAGTAATAAAAGAATTTTTTGAATGATAGCTATTATGATCTTTGATGACAGCCATTGTATGTAAAACAATCAATGCATTTCTTTTACTGCGTGTGGTGCTATGTTGTGTGAAGATCATAATGTCGGGGACAATCAAAGTCTAAAATATATGACGCATTTCTACATTTTTCGACATAGTTTTTGTTTTGTATTTGTTTGACTGGTTAGTTATCAAAACGTGCATTGACTGATAATCAATTAAAATATAACTATCTCCTGTTACGGATCTTATGTTTTTTGTTTCGCGAAAGGTATTAGGCTGTTAACACAAGGCGAGTATCATGCATGCATGCAGGATAAACGAGTTGCTCTTGTAGAAATAATGAACCTAGAACTTTAAGATAGACCCATTGCAAACAAATGCTAAAACTTTTGTACATGATTGGTAAAATATGAATATAATGAAATTTAATAATAGTCAACCAAAGTTTTCTGTGACGTTTATCGTTTTCGGCGTTAGTATAGCTACACCATTGCTAAATGACGCGCATTTCAACAGTGATCGTTTGCTTCATGAAGTTCTTATATTGCTGTTTTACTAAGGTTGCTTGTTGTTGGCAAAAATCTGAATACAATTCAAACGTTAATATCAGATAGAAAAAGTTTTCTGAATTCATACTCTTTGTAAACGGGTGCAGCGTCGTTACATGTATATTTAGCTATACCTTAAATATGCCATTTGACGTAGAAAGATTTAATAACAGATATTGTGTACTTATCATTGTTATCAATAGTCTATTCTCTGATAATTATAAATGGACATAAAACTACGCTTCTAAAATTTACATCCACCAACCAAAACTTTGTCAGCTTACTATAACTGAATGACTGCAAAGGACTATAATTTGATATTCTGTTTTACATGGCTATCACTGCATGATATCAGTTCGAATGATTAATAAACTCAGCCCACTCACAACTAATAGCAAGTCTTCCTCTAAGGAATGAAGGAATTTTTCAGTTGATTATTTTGGTATTTGATTGCAGCCAATTTATGTAAAGATAATGAATGCTTTTCCAACTGCATGTGTCATTATCTCTGAGAACTAAATTATGATGTCAGTGACGATGTTGCATTTAAACATTGTTGATATAGTTTTTGTTTTGTATATTCGGCTAGTTGTACATAATCGGCTAGTGCACAAAAAACTAGTCAATATACATATAACCTGACAACCGCCAAATATCTTAGGTTGTTGTTTTGCTGTCGAGTTATAGGTAGTAGGTGAAGTATAATCCATGATTGCATTTAAACATTGTTGATATAGTTTTGGTTTTGTATATTCGGCTAGTATATTCGGTTTTGTATATTGGAAGATTGATTGGATTGCTTTCAGCTTCACCCAAAATACATCATGAGTTTGTGCAAGCGTAGCATAGATATAGTATAAGCTAAGTCGTGGAAACTTATTGATGTGTGTCAATGCAGGTATCCAGCGTTAAGCAAAATAAATTACTACAGTCTATCTATTGGTAAGATTTTAACTTTTGAATTTCACAACAAATGGATTTTTATTAAGATATTATAAATTCAAAATTAGTGGCCATAATTTATTTTGCCTAACCTTGGATACTCCATAGATACTGCATGACAACGTCACGAAGTTCCGGCAATAGTCTTTGTAATCATTGTTTTGAACATATCTTGCATATAGGAATGTGTAATTTAATTAACGTAATAAACGTACGTAATGCTTGACGAATAAAGATTTTACAAATACTTTGGCCTAGTAAATTCTACTCAATATAATAAGTTTAATTCTAATTTCGGAATTTGTAATATACGACGAAAATTCACTTCTGATAAAAGCGTTTTCGTGTGTGCAGTTTTGGTATCGAGCGATTGAATTGAATCCTTCAGGTAGCTTAAATTCTCCCAAAGCCGGACTTGAATTGTTTTGTCTGGTTTGAATAAGAAATCCTTGTATAGTTCCTTCAATGAATAGACGAACGGCGCTGTCGACAACTTCAACTCTTATTTCGTATGGGGAAGTGTCTATCTTCTGTCAATTAAGGTCACAATTCTTGTGGTGACCAAAGCTTATTAAAACGCAGGTCATAGAAGGAGCACCATTAGGTAGCCCTTGTCCATGTTTTCCCATCATCAATACGACGCACAAAATTACCAATGTTTAGGACACTTTGTTTTTTAACTTTAATAATAAGATACATAGAAGATTTCCAATTTCTTAACTTCAAAATCAAATTACAGTACGCTTATGAAGATGTTATTTACATTGCCTTTTTATGTATACATCACAAATTGCCTAACGCAATTTATATATTGCAACACTTCCGGGCGACGGGAGTACGTTGTTTTCATCAATAAAGTATTTGGATTATTAAAAGAGCCAAAACAGCACCTATTCCGTAGGCAATCTCGAATACATCAATGATATGAATGAATTATGTTTGCAAAATCAATTTCAAGCTTGTGTTTGCAATAATAGCTTAAGTTCCCTTTTCGAGTTTAGTTCTTTATGTAGATCTGTACAATTGTGTGTAAAATACACGAGCGTTTACACTGCCTTGTATGTTTGCTTAGGTAGAGAAATGGAATTATCTTATGGAATTTACATTTCTAAGATCGTAAAGAAATTTTACGGGGCGATAAAAGGTATATATGAATGAGATGTCTTTTATTATTTTTATCAAGGAAACATATATACAAATACATCATCAAACGACGCACAACTGTTCAACAACTTCTTCTGCCAGTTGAATTTTACTTCTACAATCTACAAGAGTGTTGTAAAAAGTTAGATTACATTTCAAGAATGTTCACTCAGTATTATTTCTAATTTTAACACTTGGTTTGATGTATCATGATATGATCTTTTAAGGTATAAATGAAGATGTATAAGTCAAGGAACACATCTTTGCGCAAAGCAAATACAACATAAAGTTTTGCTAAAAATTATCCAAACAGTCAGTAACGAATTACTAAGTAGGCTATGTAGACTGAAGCCTACAGGTCAGGGTTATTGAGATTTGAGAGCCCCGTTGTAATTAGACATAATTAGTTTTTACTAATTGCTATTCCAGACTCGCTAAATGTGCCTATTTCAGACCATTTATAAGCTGCTAAAAACCGTACAATTTATGGTTTAAATGCATGATATTCAGAACTTATAAAGTAGTGGGTTTCCCCAGTTTAAATTATAAATTTATTCCCTATTGTTCACGTTATAATTTACAAACCCAAGCCAAGAAAAGCAAAAGCAAAGGAACTGAGATGAGCGCCAGCGTTGGGAAGATACTGAACTTAGTCAGAGGAATAAACATTTTTATCTTAGCCTACAGGCCCCGTGATTATTAATCCGCCACTGCAAAAGGCACATGTCATTGATATGGTTGTGACGTCATATTGGGAAGACGCTTTAAGAAAACACTGGATGTTCAAAAACATCCACTTTTAAACAAAATACAACAGAAGAATTCGTAATGTGACGTTTAAAACGACATTAGTACCAGCTTTTTTATATATTTATACTGGCGGTCAAACACTAAAAATTGTCAATATTTCAACTTGGAGTGCAAAAGGCTCTTTAAATAGTGAATTTTTATTTTTTGTGATTGTAACTAAGTGCCATAAATATAGGTTCAAAAACTAAAACTGAGCAACGTATTTTTTGACAGTGGCTATAAATACTTATGACTATATTTTGCCGCCTATTCAGCATTTTACTTTCTATTCTGCGCTTTAACCTCTGCTTGAAAACCTTTCAAAAACTTTCTTTCACCTATCGTTTTAATCAACTGCACTTAAAATTTGTGCGCAATCCAATTTTGCAGGCAAAAGGAGTCAGCAAAAAATTTTCTATAATTCGAAAAAGATTTTGGCTGTAATTCGTGTGAAATATAGCTGGCTATGTATTCCACGCGAAAAATTAATGTTTGTAATTTGCAACTCACCAACACATTTTACAAACCACTTAAATGGCTCTCACCAATATAAAATATGACTTTAGAGCTCACTAAGCTCGAGAAATATTTTTTTAAAAGTTTTGTTCGAGCTATTTGTGCAAAGAACACATACAAGTTTATAGGTTCAGTGTCTTTGCCATTGGTTAATTTACAATGTCTTAGATGTGATAATAATAATCAAAAGTAAAATTTTCCATTTGAACAATAAGAAGGAAGAAAGCAAGTAAAGATTCAAAGATTACAAAAGGTTTTAAAAAACTTTAAGAGTCTTTAAAGTGGATGAGTGCAGAAAAAACACTTAAATTGTTTAAGTGAATTTGCATAGAGAATGCATACAATAAGTATTTAGTTATTCCTTTAAACTTCAAAATATTTGTGTACACGTTTGTTCAAAAAGCACTTTGGTTGAACATGTTATGTCTACACATTGAAGTTCATCTGTTTTAATCAAAACATGTCTATATATTTATAGATGCACAAATCATCATCCAAAAGAAACAATATAGCTACGCCAATATGAGCAATTGTAAAAAATATCTTATCTTCTATAGAGTACTGTCTCGAAATGTTGATTTTGTGTACAATTAAATATATTCTAAAATATTTCTATTCGAATCAAATATCAAAAATGAAAAAATCAAATCGTTACTGATATTTGCTTTGGCAGCAGAGCAATAACTGTACTTCAACGTTTAAAGTTTGGGTTACCAATCACCCTGCACCCTGCACGCTCATTTTGAAAACACCTGTTACCAAAATTAAGCCAAATACTCAAAACTAGCTATTGTCATTAGGGATTACAAAAAATCCTCGCCGCATTTTCATCGTTTATATGCTCAAAGAAAGTTGAGGCAATCCCCCAAAAGAATATAACTGTATTTATGCACTGGTATGTGAAACTTCATAAAACACATTTTCAAAAATTACAATCAAATGTTAATTTGTTGCAACCAAACTCCGTGGAATCATAACACAATGTGGTGCCCACAATAACATTGATAAAGTATTCTTTTGCATAAGACCACTAACATGGTGTCCGTGACGTAGCTAACTTTCAACTTTTCGGTTACACATTTACTTATAAATACAGACATCTTGAAATTCGTCATTTAACAAACAAGATTAATTGATTGATAGCACAAGAAAGACACCATTCAAATATTGTTATATCTTACTTGAAGAAGTCTGAAAAACGTTTCGTCTTACGTCAACGGATATTTTTCATATATTTGGTCTAAAAAAGCCTTTCAAAACCTCTTTGACACACATCTCCACTAATTTGCACTTAAGTTTGTAAGCCCAAATTTGTTGACAAAGAGTCCGCCAAAGCTTTCCTTCAATTGAAATAAGAATTTAGACAAATAGCTAATTTTTGTAAAGTTTAGGGATTGCTTATGACATGGGAGAAAGTTATCTTTGCACTGTGCTGCATGGTAATTTTTCGAAACTTCCTAAAATATCCTATAAATCATTTCAACGACTCTTATAGCTACCTATTTCAAATAGTTTGCCAACTACTCATTAAATATAAAACCAATTAAGGTCAGAATGGCTACAACTAAGAAGACTGATGGACTAATCATGACAAGCTGATGAACAGCGTAGGCAATAATAGAAAAAGTTGCATACAATTTGTTTCATTTATTATACAGAGATCGGGAAAAATGGAAAAAGTTAAATCATTTCTGACTGGCGACAAAAATCGGAGCTTTTTCTAAACATTTTTCAGTGAAAGCATTTATAAGCTATTACATAATTGCTCAAACTTTGTAAAATGTTGCTTTGCTGTTTTATAATATGTTAACATTAATATTTATATAATGTGACAAATATGTTTGATAACATCAAAATACAAGAGTCTTAAACAAAATTTGACCAGCAGATCTTTCAATCTATTACCAGAACCGTAGCTATATCTGAGCTCCAGGATGAATCATATTTGAAATATGAAAATCTATTCTTGAAATAGGCATTTGTCATGTTGTATCTGATCATTGATCAACAACAGCAAGTCGCAACGTTGATAATATTTTGTATAAATAACATTGTGAAACAATCACGAGCATTTTTTTAATCTCATCGGCTCCATAATATAATAATTTGACCAATTGTGCTCATTAGTTTGTAAGAACTTTATATCGCAAGTGTAAACTTACTTCTATCATGCCAATTACAATTGCATCAAGGTCAAGCCAGGTTAACTCAAGTAAATAATGACGGGTGATTACCTAGTACTTGTCATCGAAGCCACCTGACACCAGGAAAAACATGAATGAAGTAATTGAATTCTGCAAAGTTTTCCCTCGTCACCACTATGATTTCAATCAATTGGAAAATGACGGTTTATTCCATTTTCTAACTTTCTGCCTGAACTGTGAAAACCGGCTTCAAAATACAACCGAAAAACTGAAAAAAACGGTCAAGAGAAAGATGATAGAATGTGAGAAAGCACAACTTTGGCTTTTTCCCAAAACACGGAGAGTTCCCGAAATATATTTGCATTTGAAGAATTAGAAAAGCTAGGGCAAAAAGCTAGGGGAAGCCCATATAGCAAAGGGAATTTCCCAGGACTTCTCCAAGATAATTCATTTTTAACTTGCATGTGACAACATTCCTTAATCATGCTGTAAGTTGTACAAAAGTTAAAGAGAAAAAATAAATAGATTACTAATAACATTATCCATATAAGGTCAATTGACTTATTATTTTCGTGTTTCCGATTGTGTCGAATCACGTTATATAAAATCCACAAACAGAAGCGCTTTAATATCATAACACCCCAACACCCCCCCTCCTTAACAATACCAATATAACGAGATAAGAAACTTTGATTGAGTATATTCTATTTCATTTTTATGGCAGCCAGACAAATATTAAACCAAGACGAGCGACAAATGCTTGAAGTTGGCGATGTGAAACCCGAAGTTGAACGCTGCCAAAATGAAAGGCAAAGATCAAGCCAAACCAGTTGGTCGTCTAAATTTATAAAAGTTATAGATACGACTTTGAAATTGCTGGAGAACACAGGCCAAAGAGCGAACTTGGACGCAAAAAAACTGGAACAGATTTTGAGAGAACTGTATAAACTAAGTTTAAGTTTATTCATGCGCACAACATGATACCGCTGCTTGATGATGAGGAGATATGCACACGCCACAGCCGAAACGCGATTAGGAAATTCCATCACAACAGAGGGAGCTTCCAAATAAGGAACACGAGAATTTGAGCAGAAATATGAAACTCCCAAAGAAAAGCAACTTGGGGAAACCCCTCAAAACTAAGGAATTTCCCCTAAATAATGATTTTAAAACTGACTTGATTGGGTTTTGAGAAAATGCCAACAGTGTTGCCAGATCGTGAACAAAGTTCATAGATTTGTGAACTTTTTGTTCTCTTCATTAACTTTTCATGAACATTAAAAGTTTGTGAACTTTTTGTGAACTTTTGTAAATACTATGCATTTTTGCATTTTCATCATTTTCATAAAGAATGTATATATATAAATCTTCATAGCTCGACAGCTCTTTCAAAACAACGACGATTTTAAGATAATGCCGTGTTTTCCGAAGACTTCCAAGAGTTTCCGAACATTTCCGAGTTAATCCGTTAACTTCCGATCTTAAAAATTAGATGTAGTATGAACTTTTTGCCATTTTCGCAATCAGTGAGCTTTAACGATAATCAAAAAAGTATAAGTGTACTTACAATTTTCTCTTTATAGATATAAGGAACAGAATATCAAATCATCCGATTCGTACAAGTCCTACAGCAAACAAATCCCAAAGTTCCTGCACAATAGACCAAAGTACGTTGTTTCTCATATTATTCAACGGATGGAATCTGACATTCCAAGTAAAAACATCAAGATGGAAACGACAAAACATTTCACTGTCACAAGCTCATCATCCACATATCAAGTTTTTCTGGGATCAAACGACCAAATGCCTTCCTGCCAATGTCTTGATTACAGGAGTCGGAAGATGCCTTGTAAACACATCTGTGCTGTTGTTCAACAACCAAATGTTGGGTAGGAATCAATTGGAGTGAAGTTTTCCAATCATCCCCTATTTACTTTAGATCCCCATATAATTCAACCAAAAGCCAATATAAGCCCAACTCAGACTGATATCAAACACAAGTCACTGCCAGGAAACTTTGCGCAATGTCCTAATTATGAAAAAGCTCATTCTTCTGACTGCTTTCTTATCACAACAGATTATTGCTCCAACTCAATCCAAAATGTTAGAAATAAGTGTGTTCAAAAAGTCAAACAAATTCAGGATGAGCTTTACATTTTGGATGATGAGAAAGTTTTGGACAAAACCCTGGAGATGTTACAAGAGGTAATACAATAAACAAGAAAAAATCATCCTGAGGAAAATGGAATTTCATTGAAAAACAAGTCTTTATCTACAAAAAAGAAACAAATTTCAAAGTGTAGGACACAATCTGCTTTGCCAAAAAGAAAATGCAAGAGGTGTCCAGGTAAACGAGTGGGAAGAGCAGCTGATTTAGAAAGTGAAAAGATTGAAGTATTTGAAGAGAAGCTTGAAAAAGAAGAGAAGCATGAGAAATGCAAATTAAAAGTAATTGAAGAGCAACTAGCAAAAAAGATGAAAATGAACAACAATGAGAAAATTGAAAATTCTGAGGAGTGTTGGGTAGATATTCAAGGAATAAAGTTGTCATATGCTCAGAAAGACATGCTTCTAAATTTAAATGGATGGTTTTCAGATGACCATATTGATGCAGCACAGAAATTAATAGGTGATCTTGGTACCGGAGTGGGAGGTCTGAACACAGTCGTAGCAGTCACATACAGTAACAAACTCATAAATATTCCTGAAAATATCACCCAAGCAATTCAATGTCACAATATTGGTCACCACTGGGTGGTTTCTACATCCATAACTGGTGAAATAGTAGTCTTTGAATCTATGAGTACCAACCTGAATTCATCATTAAAAAGGCAACTCCAGAATGTTTACAAAAACCTTCAAGAACAGGATGGTTCTTTAAACGTCAAAGTGATTCTCCAACAACATCAAAAAGGATCATCAGATTATGGTCTTTTTGCAGTGGCAAATGTTGTTGCTTTGGCTAATGGTGTGAACCCTTGCTCTGTTACTTGGCTGCAGAAGAAGATGCAAGTGCATCTGGTCAAATACTTTAAAGAACAAAAAATCGAGATGTTTCCCCACATTGAGAATGCAATGCAAACCTGCCATTCAAAAAATTATATTCTGTGAGAATATAGTAATTGTAAGCATCCAACATAAAAATAATCATGTATCGCTTCACTTTTGCTTGCAAACATCTACACTGTAATTGCTCAAATTGGAGCCCCTTGAAAAATCATGTTCAAAATTAACATTTTCTATTTGTGAATCATGGACATGGTATTTATTTTTACAACTAACTGGGGACATATAACTAATACAGTCTAGAAAATGTAGAAATAATAAATTTACCTTATAAATTTTACACAGTTGTGTAGCGAGCCCTGAAGATGATTTGGTCGTCGTATGTAAATTTGATATTATTATCATTAAACATTTCTTTAGAAATCTGTTGTTTTTACAGTTAGTGAACAAAGAAATAATTGTATAGCAGAGCTAAATAAAACGGGCTGGATACGCCACTGTTACGTTCATTGTATATTGTTCATTGCTTCATCGAGTATCGTTATGATGATTTAAAATCGTTGAGCATATGACAATATATGTAAAATACAAAGAATACAAAACAATAGATGTGTAAAAAAGTAAAACTGTCCAAACCTGAAATCGAAAAAAGAATTCTTCGCGTCATTTAGCCGCATATCGGTTAAATACGTATATGAAACTTGTTATTCTCAATGGTTATTCTATATTTTAGTGATTTGTCACAGCTTATTAGGTATTTACAAATGGTAATTACATATACATGAATATTCGTCAATTGTTACTTACCGCTGACATCTTAAGAATAATATGTGGGCGCGTACATTAGTTGACCGTGATCAAAGTGCCGACCACATAACACATTCAAAACATCGTACACAAGACTTACATGACAAATTTTGTTTCAATATTATTCATTTGACTCTTATGGCAGCCAGACAGCTATTAAAAAACCAACTGCTTGAACTTGGGGATGAAAACGCAAGTATGGACGCGACTGTTAATTGTAAGGAAATTAAAGAAGTCGGGAAATTAGCTCGTTCTTTGGGCGACCAGTTGTTGTTCTCGACTCCCGAAGTCAAACGCCACCAAAATGAAAGAGAAAGGTCGAATCAAATAAATTGGTTGTCAAAATTTATAGAAGCTTTTGACGTGACTCTGGAATGGCTTGAACACAAAGGTCAAAATATGTACATGGGTGCAAAAAAACTAGAGCAAATATTGAGAGGACTGTATAATTTAACAGGTGAGTAGAATTTACACGTGTTCTTTTACGTTGAAAATTATTACTTGTTACGTTTCTTGTTTTGACAAAAATATGGGATTTTGGGATGGTGATTTTCTTTGGCATCTGCTTTTTCTTTTACATTTTAAAATGGTTGGCTGGACGTGGCTTCTGAAAGCATGGTTGCCAAGTTCGTATTATGAATTCTTAAGTTCGTAGTAGGGTTCATATTATGATTCTCTGATGATGGCTTTGGAACAAGTTCGTATGTTGCCAACTTAACTTCCAAATATGGAATGAACTTGAATTACTCTTTGGCTAAATTTTAATGATCCAAAATATATAAAGGAGAAACCGAGAAAGTTTTAAAACGCAACGATTTTATGTCGCAATTAACGTTAAAATTGCTTTCTTAGGGAAAACCTACATTGCATTTTGAAGTATTCCAACTGTGTAAGCAATTAACTTTTTGACTGCCTTAATGCAACCAGTGTGTGTCCATAATGTTTGGTGCAGTTTAACTAAGAAGATTTAAGAATTTTAAAAACCATGTTGTTGAACCATTTTGCATCTATTTCTCATCAGTACCTTTGCCATTAATTATTCAGATATCGGGAACAACGCTCAAATCTTCGTGATAATGGAAATAGCCAGCGCATTTCTGACAAGCGATCAAGATCCGTTTCCAGGAAAGCGTCAATACATAGTGCAGTGTTTGGAAGATGTCAAAGACCACCAGAAATCCATTGAGCGTTTAGTCGCAGATGCGAGCAGCTTGCTTCAAGAAATGCTTAAAGATAGTGAAAGCATCGATTTCCTAAAGGGCATGCAGTTTGACAACATCGTTAGGGAAGCTAAAACGAAGATCAATATGTGTAGCCGGCGATTGAACGGGGCAGAAAAAGCTATTTATGAGCTTGCTGGTAAAATGAAAACCATTAAATGGAGTTGGCGTGGTATGCGTGGTGCAGGTTGGATTTAGCCTTGTAATTGTATTCATATTCATTGCATTAAAGCCTATTTGGAGTTTGCTCCCATATTAGTTATTTTGTCATTTTACAAGCACACTTTAAGGCCGATAAATTTATATTCCAAAGAAGGGAGCTCAATCATTCAAATTTCAATTACAGGTTGGGTGTTCACTGCTTTATTTCTGTTCAAGCGATATCAGGAATCCAGTCATTCGTCATTGGACCTGTTGCTGTTTGGTGGGCTTACCCTGGTCGCGGGTGGCCTATGGATGTGCCTATTTCCAAGCAGAGAGAGCGTTTTCTATGAGTCTATTGCAAAACTCGAATCGCAACACTGTTTGTTGAAGGAGAAACTGGAAGATTTGCGCATAACCTTGACTAGCGCTAAAGATTTTAGAGATGGACCTTTGAAAAACAGGGGTCATCCCAGTTATGATGTTCCTGTAGCCTACAATTTACAATATTGAGCAATGTCAATTGAGCCACGAAGTGTTAATACTGGATGTAATATTGTGAGATTTCTCCCCTTTTATTGCTTTGTCATACTACTTTTATACAGATCTTTACTTAATTATAATATACGTAATATGACGTACGAAATACTAATAATTTACATAATAACTACACTACACCTCTCCCCAAACTAATTAAATATATTTTTTTTTGTATTTTGTGTCTATAAGTTCGTATATGAAAATATTAATTGTTTCTTTTATAGCTATCTCTAAATTAACTTTCAACTTGTCCGTATCGAATAGGGGCTTTTCTTGTACGCAAAGGATACCGCCGTTCTTTTTCCTTTATACTTTCCTCAATGGGTTCTCCTAGACTTTTCCCATTTTCTATCTTCTTGAAAAATGACGAATTACGAGTAAATAACATTCTATCTTTCTTCGCTGTTACCATTGAACCTTTTCTTTCCACGACTTCACATGACAACATTGGCAATTTGACCGATACAGTACATTGTGAAAAAAAAGGGATTAGTTGAATGTGACGATGGACAAATTTAACGTTCTTCTTTTGATGTTTAAAAATTGAAAACGGATGATTCTGCCGCATTGCTGCAGCTGCATTGGCATTTCCTTTTAATGTAAAACGACATATGATGATGATGCTATAAATGATGAAACACGATTGGTCACCACATGAAATTCCAACAAGAATGACAAAACATTATTCGTGACCACCTATGGAGGGTGATCTCCGCCAAAATTAATAGCTACATTTTCCAATTACTAATGCGCATTTTGTCCTTTGCAATGTGCATTTGTCTTGATCATATTCCATTCTGGAATTTCATAATCGGATTTTGTCCTGTTCAATTTCCGTTAAAACGCATTTTGTTGTTGAACATTCCATTATGATGACGTAGCATTATTCGTGACTCGCAAAACATCAAATTTTACTCGATCACATTATGATTTATTTATAATTTATTTTCTTTGTGCGGTAATAATGAAAACAAAATAAACCAATTGTTTTACCTACAAATCTACTATCCTAAAACATGGCCGACAGGTTATACTTTGTAAGACTCCTTCGCAACTCTATTTTGGGTTGTATTGCTGACCTCGAAGGAAGTCCAGATCGGGATTTTTGCGTTTTTCGTATTTATTCTCTTTACCATACTACGTTGCGATTTGCTGAAGCATTTGAGCTTGAAGAGGCTGTTCTGCAGTTAATCTCAAACGCAAAAGAACTTTTAAATGTCAATGTTCATCATGATATTAATCCATCTTCTTCATTGAACTGCCCTCAAGTTTTCAGAACTGCACACCAGGGCAACCAATGTATGAAGTAAACGAAGATATTCTGCGTTATTTTTTGGATAAGCGTTTTACAGTGAAAGATACGGCAAATCTTCTGGAAGTCAGCAAAAGAACCAATGAAAGGAGGATGAATGAGTTTGGTTTATCAGTTTCTAATTGTTATTCTGACGTTAACGATTCAGATCTCGAGTTGGTCATAAGAAACTTAACGAAAGAGTTTCCCAATCTTGGCTACAAACGTATGTCAGGATTGCTGTTAGCAAGAGGTTTGCGAATTCAGCAAGACAGGATTCGTGAAATGATGCGAAGAGTTGATCTACAGGGTACATTTTTTCTTGCTTTGTCTCTTAGAGCAGTGCACAGACGTAAATATCATGTTACTAGCCCCTTATCACTTTGGCATGTTGATGGCAATCACAAATTGATTAGGTGGGCTACTAAAAACTACCAAATTTTGGGCGTTAATAAATCTCAGTTTTGCATACAAATGTGCTAGTAGTTTCATATTTTTAAATGGAGATTTGTGACTCATGCAGGAATAGATGGCTATTCACGTTTGCTGGTATTTATTTGCTGTAGCACAAACAATCGAGCTGATACTGTTCTAAGTATATTTCTATCTGGTGTATCTCAATATGGACTGCCATCCAGAGAAAGAAATGATAAAGGAGGTGAAAATGTTGGTATTGCTCAATTTATGTTAAACCACCATTTGCGAGGACCCGGTCGTGGCAGTCATATTACCGGAAGAAGTGTGCACAACCAACGGATTGAGCGCTTTTGGCGAGATCTTTTGTTGGTTGTACAAGTCTTTTTTATCATTTATTCTATCATATAGAAAGTAATGGAATATTGGATCCATCAAATGAAGAACATGTGTTTTCATTGCATTATGTGTTTTTTCCAGGAAGTTTACAATAGATTTCCCATAAGAACAGAAAGAAATCTATCATGACTTGACTAACTCATGACTTTACTTTTAGACTATGCTTTACATTATAATCATCAGACTGGATGCAAAGCTAATTGATGTATGTTGAAGTCAAAATCTAATTTAATGTTCCAATTCATTAAGGAAAACCAAGAATTCCCACCCACCTTTAAACAAAATTACGCATGTCATGAAACTGATCAGCAACAAGTGATTGTTCCAGAAACCAACATTCCATAGAATGAAATAGATCTTGATGAGCTGCAAAGAACCATTAATCCTTTAAGGCCTCCTAATCATAATGGTGCTGACATATACATTGAGTTGCTACAGTTTGTAAATACCAGACTGCACCAGAAAGACGAGTGACATTGTGAACTCACAAAACAAGAAAAGCTACTTGACCTATTGTTCGTTGGTGTCAATTCAGATAATACAAAACAAGATATATATGGCAAGGAATGCTATAAATTTTTCATTATGTTGATTATTCAAACATTTTAGCAGAAAATGGTTTTTTGCACATAAATGCTAATGCACTGACAGAACAAAATTTAATGAAACATTAACATTTTCACTTTAAGTCTTTAACTATAAAAATGATATCCAAAACAAAGAATAAAAATATTTCAATTTTGTGCATCATCCATATTAGCTGTAACAAGCTATGTTATTGCTGAAAGAGATGTATAAACTGTTCCAAGATCAAATATTTGTAAATCCTCTAGAACGAAATTGCAAATCTCTATCTAGTTTAGCTTTCAGTTCATCGAAGTTTTCATAACATGGAAGAACTAACAAATGAAAACAAGTTCTACTTTCTGGCAGCAGATTACGATCTTTTGTTCTGTCAACTTTGAGATGCAGGATTGCACCATTTGCAGGCAGTAAATCACACCCAGTCCAAAAAGACAACAGATCTTTAAGATTTGCCCCTAGGAATGGACAAGTATTAAAGTATTAATATAACTAGTACCTCAAACAGTCAAACATTTAAGTTTTTTTTGGAGAAAGCAAAAGTCCAATTTAAAAGAAAGAAAATATTACTGACATTGATATTGTTCAAACAGATAAAGCTACTGCTGCTCCAACATATAATATATAATCAGTTGTGGTGCAAATATTAAAAAGCAAACCATATTCACACAAAAAACACATACATAGACTGACTACAACCAATTACAACCTTCCCTGCATCTTTCTACCAAAACACTTACCACTAGTTGTCCCATCAATTAGATCAATGTATTGTTTCAAAAACAACATCAGTTGATTACAATGAACGCCTTCTACTTCTTCAATTTCAATAATTCTTTTTAAGTCGTCTTTATTAATAAGAGAAGCAGCTGATTGCGGAAAAAGTTGTGGTTGAACAACATCTTTGTGTTTCTTCAGGAAATCAACCAGTCCAAAGTCATTCATTACATCAGCTAGATCTTGCAATTCTGATTTTCTACGGGTAATGACAACATGTAACATGATTTGCTGAGCAATAACATGACAATTTGCACCAGAGAATGATGTATCTAAAATTGAAGCTTCATCTCTGTACTGAGTTAAACATCTTTCAATGCAGTTCCAGGAGCTTCATCTTTGCCAAGGCTGTTCAACTATGTCATAAAACACATTAGCTCAAAAAAATACTGAAAGGCAATGCTCAGGTGCAATAAAACTTTTCAAACCTCATTCAATGCGATCCTCAGGTCAATGTCAGGTATATCCACAACTTCTATTAAAGGAATCTAATCTTTGTCACATACCAAATAATCAACAACTACTTTAGAAATTCCAAATAGTGGTGATCTAGCATGTAGGAAAGAATGTGCAATCATTCTTCCAATGCACTTATAGAAGCCTGTACTTCTCAAAAGTGAGTTGGCTACAGGAACTTTATGGTCATTTTCTCCTTCAAAAACAAGAGTTTTGGGCCTTTCTTCACCATTCAATGGAAAACCATCAAGAATCATTTTCATTACTAGGCTGAAAAATTCTCGCATAGGACCACTGCCAACTGAAGTTTTGTTTTCAAACTTTACGCTGAACCAAGCACACAACTTACTACTGTGATTTTTTTAAATTCCAAAATGTCATTGGCAAAGTCACTTGCCATGCGGTTGACATAAACTCGAAAAACTGGACTGTCATTGACAATTGAAGCATCTCGATACTCTTCAATGATTGTCTTCTTTTGTTCTTAAATAGAAAACCAGTCAAATGTTTATTGTAGCAATACAACCCAGCAAGTATTTGCTAGACTAAGCTTACCAATATCACAACTTCTACACCTAAATACAACATGCAAAAATCACAGTAAGCATGTTCAACTTTATTCATATTGAGACCAAATTGTGTTGCAGGAGCATAATGCCAGTTAAAACAACAAGCTAAAAGTCATGCATGAAGCAAAACATCATTTTCAACCAATCAAGAAAACTATGTCAAATCATTTACAACTTGTTTCTTTTGAAAATAATTAAGATAAATTCATTCATTATCTGGAGGTAGTTGTTAAAAAAATATTTGTCTTTGCACATCCGCCATTCAGCCTTAATGGAGTCTATGCTACGACCAAAATATATTGATAATCCCATACATGGAACTTGATATAATGATGTAAGTACTTACTGTGATCCAACAATAATGAAACTGACACTTCAATGTCTCCCTCACAAACTCTTACAGCTTCTTCTATGGCAGTATCATGAAGTCAGGAAACATTTCATGCAGTTCAGACATTAATGGAGTTCCAGAAAAACTTTCCTGATAAAAAATTATTCATTCAATTTTCAAAATAAGCAGGTAAACAAAAAACAGTGTGACATTTTCACAGTAAATGTGTAATAGGAATTAATGCAAGCTTATAGCATACATTGATCTTGATCTTCTTAAATTGTTTATGGTGATTGTCCATTCCACATTCAACCATATGATTCCTGATTGAATTCATTGGAATCTGCACTGAGCAATTTAAGCATTTCATTGTTGGTGCAACAGATTAGGGAAGCAAAAACGAATATTGATTTGTGTAGCCGGCGATTGAACGGGGCAGAAAAAGCTATTTATGAGCTTGCTGGTAAAATGAAAACCATTAAATGGAGTTTGCGTGTTATGCGTGGTGCAGGTTAGATTTAGCCTTGTAATTGTATTTATATTCATTGCATTAAAGCCTATTTGGAGTTCGCTCCCATATTAGTTATTTTGTCATTTTACGAGCACACTTTAAGGCAGATAAATTTATATTCCAAAACAGGGAACTCGATCATTCAAATTTCAAATACAGGTTGGGCGTTCATTGCTCATTTTCTGTTCAAGCGATATCAGGAATCCAGTCATTCGTCATTGGACCTGTTGCAGTTTGGTGGGTTAACCCTGGTCGCATTTGTCCTGTGTTTCAGGCCATTTCTGGACACAGAGAGCGTTTTCTACGAGTTTATTGCAAAACTCGAATCGCAACACTGCTTGTTGAAGGAGAAACTAGAAAATTTGCGCATAAGCTTGACGGGCGCTAACGATTTTAGAGATGGACCATTGAAAAGTGTAGAAGACACGTTAGACTTCCCAGAGACCCTCCATAGACCAAAATTCGAACATATTGAAGAGTGTTTTTATATGATTAAGGAGAAATACGAAAAGACTTTAGAGCTTATTGAAAAAGAGGAAATAGAACGTTGCAACAACACAGTATTGCTTGGTCGTGCTCAACTGGAAATTAATCTTTGTAATGACTATCTATCACAGGCAAAAATCATCATTGACGAAGTGGAGGGAATTGCTGGCAAAACAAAATTTGTCACACGAAGCGTGCGTTTACTTGGATGGGGATAGCTTGCTATGTTATATTTCGGATGACATCCTCTAAAGGCAAACTAGTGGATCTTGAAATTTTTGTATCTTCTTCAGTATTTTCTATTATGAAGCAGCTCGCATTCCCAGACGAATGGGGCATCTTTCTTGATAAGTCGACGTAATGGCTCCGTAACTGTGGCATAATGTGAAATAAATCGACAGCAAAAATTGGTCATGCCTAACAAACTTCGTACTTCTCCTACATCTTTAGGATTGGTGCATTCCGTAATTGCTCTCACTTTATTGAGATCCGGCACAATACCCTTCTCTGAGAACACATACCCTTGGAATATTAAACTTCTTTTCTTAAACAGACATTTCTCCTTCTTAAGAGTTAGTCCTCGATCTTTAATTCTTTGTAATACCGCGTTCAAATTTGGATCGTGATCTTTCTCGTCTACGCCAAACACCATGATGTCATCACTGATATTAATCACTCCTCTCAGTCCATTCAACGTTTCTCTGATGGCATTTTGGAATATCTCTGCAGCACAGTTTATTCCAAAATTCAAACGTCGAAATCTCCGAAGACCAATGTGTGTTGAGAAGGTTGTCAAATATCTTGATTATGCATCGAGCTCTAACTGGTTATAGCCTTGATTTAAGTCCAATTTGCTAACCATACAGCACCATTTAGATTCCTTATAATTTCACCAATCGTCGGAGTCAAGTGTCGTTCTCTCTTTATTGCTTTGTTTACTTGTCGCATATCTATACAAACTCGGACCTCTCCTTTTTGTTTTTGGTACGACCACGACTGATGAAACCCAAGGTGTTGGTCCATCCGTTTTCTCTATGACTCCACGTTCTTCGTCTCGTTTTAACTGTTTCTCCAAGTCTTTTCTCACATGAAACGGCACCCGACGATGAGGTTGTGCGACAGGTTGTACGTCCTTATCTACGTGTAGATGAACTTGAAACCCTTTCAATTTTCCCAGTCCTTGAAAGACTTCTTGATATTTGTTAATTAGCTCTTCCACTTTGGTATCTTCTCTAACTTTTTCTTGTGCCTTTTCTTTAACGGGTTCCTGTTTAGACTTTGTAGTGCCTTCTATGGATGCAACTATTTGTAACAGGCCCAATTTTTGAGAACTTTTCCAGCTTATCAAGCAACCCGTATTCCCATTAAGAACAAAAAATGTCTCCAACCCATATAGTTTATCGGTTTCGACCACACACTGACATTTTCCTTTAATTGATAGTTGTTTTTTCGACCCTTAAGGAAAGATTTTCTCATTTGCTTCCTGCAATATTGGCTTTTTCTTCAATTTGTTAAAATTCACTTCATCCAAGAAATTTACGCTGGAACCGGTATCTGCCATGACTGACACAGGAGTACCATTTATCTTAACTATAAATTTCGGCAGCTTTTGTTGCGCCGTCAACGTTGAAAATACATATTCATCTTCCATACTTGATTCGGACGTTATTTCTTGCACCGCATTCACTTGACGAGGTCTTACTTGATTACGTTTTATCTGTCCGTTTCGCTTTGTTGATTCAGCGCGAGAACTTTGATAATTGTCTTGCATCCGCTCTTTGCCTCTTCGATTCTCATAGCAACAAACTTGAAAATGGTTCCACTTTAAACACTGTCGACATTTCTTTCCATATGCCGGGTAATTTGTTTTCCCTGGACGATGCTCACGAGCACAAAATTTGCATTTGATCTTCGATGAATATTCGGAAGCATTTGAGGTTTTTTCCGTGGGCGTCTTGAACTGCTTTCTTTTATGCCAAATTCTATTCGTGCTTTCGATGCCTTCTGCTTGTGTTTTTGACATCTCCATTGTTTTTCCCATTTGTATTAATTTCTCCATCGTTATTTCGGGGTCTGCTAACGCTTTTCTCCGCAATTTTGAAGACGAACCATTTTGTATGATCTAAGTTTTTATCTCTCTGCTTTCTTCATGAAATTCGCAGGATTTCATGAAGATTGTTTCAATCTCATATAGTACGCGGATATGTTTTCTCCTGGGAGTTGTTTCGCTTGACGAAACTTATAAACTTCGAATTCTATATTCTTCTGTGGAGTGAAGTAATTTCGTAACGCTTTCTCCGCTTTTCTAAATACATCTTCTTCTCTATCTGGCTCGTCAATTTCTAAAGTTTCGAATATCTCATTAACTTCTTCACCGACATAGTGCAGGAGCATCGCCTTCTTTCTTGCGGCGTTTGTGATGTTCATTGCCAACAACAAATTCTCCAATCTTGATACGTATTTTCCCCAAGCTTTTCTAAGGTCTGGTTCTTCTAGGTTGAACGTCGGGAAGCTAGGCAAAGCTGTCATGTTCGAAATGTAGTATCTTTCTCAGGATCAAATCATATTTCTTCGTCCCTTCATAATCTTTGTCGCCAGATTTAATATTGTGAGATTTTCCCTTTTTAATTGCTTTGTCATATTACTTTTATACAGATCTTTACTTAATTATAATATAC